TGATTCAGTGACTGGGGTAATCGGGATGGGTGTGTCAGAGGCAATGCAACTGGCACAGGATAGAGCAGGGTTTAGGGCTGTTGTGCATAGGGTCGCTGTGAGTCGCAAATGACTCGACGGCACATAACAACAACAGCAAGGTTATCCTAGCGGACAGAAAGTTATGCTACCAAGCCGAAGGTGGGTGATTCTAATCTGCGGCCCTCAGGCCTGGTTCAAATTGTTTTTTTCTGTCAGTTCTTCTATGTGGTATAGCACTGGTCTGTGCCTTGCTGTACAGAGGTAACTCATGGTTGCTGTGATGCTGAACACTGTGATACTGATGTGCCAAATGTGATAATGGTTACGCATGGTGGACAGTGTTTGCTGGAGCTTCCCAATTAAAACAAGTCTGGAAGCAGGAGTGGTATCCACTTCTGAAATGGCTTGCCCCCGGAAACTCTATGAACAGTGCTCAGGCCTTTCATTCATAGGGTCGCTATGAGTCGTCTACGACTCAACGGCACCTAACAACAACAACATTTGAAAATATTTACAAAAGAACACTAAAACAAAATAGTAAGTCATCTATACACTTCTACTCCTAAGTGGTTACTACTTACTGCATACGTATTGGTCCAATGTTTTACTACTTCCTGGGATCGTAAATGCATTTCTTTCTTTGCCTTTCTTTCTGCACGCAGACAGGCTGCTTCTCTTGTCAAATGATCAAGGCTATCTTGAATCCTTTTCCACTCATTATGTGGAATTATGGTGACCTGATGGAGATTTACTTTATTAGGAAGAAGAGCTGGATACAGATCTTGGGCTTCTTCACAGTTCTTCATTTCTACTAAATTGAAAAAAAAATTATTAAAGACTATTTTTCCAGTTTTTAAGACTATATTTCTTAATTTCTTTTTTCCATCAGAACTAAAAGGGGTCCATTATACTGATTCACTAGATTAAATGGACAGATAATATAATTTTAGGGGAAATTAAATCATCAATGAATCTTTCAAAGAGTCATATTTCTTGCACATGAATACAAAAGTAATCCTTTGGTAATTACTTTAAAATAATATACAAGTTATGATTCTATTTTTAAAAATATCACAGTAGTTATTAATGATTTTATATAAAACCTGGAAGCCTGAATTAATTGAGCAAAGTTGTGTTTTAATAAGAAGATATACCATTCCTTGAAAGGTTAAATATTTCTTTCTTTTAACTTTGTGGATTAAAATATGGCTGCCCTTAATATATGGAAGAATTTTGAGAAGTGTTTAAGTCATTTAAAAAATGGCAGCATGGCAAGTGCTAATATCACTAGAAAAATGGAAGAAGGAAAAAAGTGCACAAGAGAGATATCAAAAGGTCAAATTACTACATGCACAATCTTGCACTATCAGTAACAGCAATCATTGGATACACTGGAACACCAACAAGGTGAACAGATAAGAGTAGGTGAAAGAGACTACATCCATGATCATCATAAATTTGTCTGAGGATAGTTCCATATGCATATTTGCTAGAAATATATCCTGGAGTTGGAAGAGCCACCAGGTTATTGAAACTTCTTAATCACCTGGAGGAATTACTTGCTAGCCATTGGGCCTCAGGTTTCTATTCTTGGGGAACATCATGGTCAACTGGCATAGTGTACAAAAACAATGTTCTATATCCTATTTTAGGGAGCTCTGAGAATGAATACTCTTTAGTGAACTGAACTGCTAACCCTAAGGCTGCATTTCAATGGTGGTTCAGATCCAAAGTGGCCCAGGAGGAAAAAGATGGGCCGTCTCCTGTTATAATTTGTTATGTTTAATAGGCATCATTGAGTCACCTTTACCTCTGAGCTAGCTACTCTATGAAAAACAGATCTGAATTTTGTCCTATCGTGCCATCCTCATGCTCTCTGATAAGCTTGAGTCCTGTGTTAGTGTTACCTTGTCAACCCATCTTAGTGAGAGTCTTCTTTCTCTGACACTCTACCTTTTCCAATATCATGTCTTCTTCCAAGGACTAGTCCCTCAGGATGTTGTTGCTATGTACCGTCAAGTTGTTTAGACTCATAGCAACCCTCTGTACAAGAGCCCTGAAACCTGCTCTATCCTGTGCCAACTTTACTGTCTCTGACACACCTACTCTCATTCTCCCAGTCACTGAATCAATCCATCTCATAGATTGTCTTCCTCTCTTTCTCTGTCCCTCCACCCTTACAAGCATGATGTCCCTCTCCAAGGACTGGTTCCTCCTTGCAACATAACCAAAGAGTGTCAGATAAAGCTTTAGAATCCATGCCTCCAAGGAGCATCCTGGTTTAACCCTCTCTAGGATGAACTTGTTTGTTCTCCTAGCAGTCCATGGTCTATTCAATACTCATCTCTAGCACCAAAGATCAAAAGCATCAATTCTCTATCATCTCTAGTCCAACTTTTTGACACATAGCAAACAATTGAGAAGACTATGGCCTGGATCAGGCACACCTTAGTCTCTAGACTGATGTTGTTGCTTGATAAATACTCAAAATATGTGAGATAAAGTTTCACCATCCTTGCTTCTAAGGCTCACCCTAGTTATACTTTCTCCAAGACAGTCTTATTCATTTTTTTAGAGGTCCTAGCATATTCTGTATTCTTCCCTAAAACCACAGCTCAAAAGCGTAAATCTTTCTATCATCTTTATTCATTTTCCTACTTTCACATGCATAGGAAGGCACTAAAAATACCATGGTTTGCATCCTTAAGTCTTTAGAACTCTGGGTTACTTTTCAACATCAAGAAGACAAAAATCCTCAACACTAGACAAATAGGCAGCATCATAATAAATGGAGAAAAGATTGAAATTTTCAATAATGTTATCTTTCTTGGATCCACAGTAAACATCTTTGTTACCAGCACTCAAGAAATGAAAAGACATGTCACAATAGGAAAGTTGTCTTTTGTTAACAGGGTTGTTACAAGTTGTACTCAACTCAGTGGAACCTATCCCTGTCTGCACTAATGCTACCTACTCATTCACTAGTTTATAGTATTATGATGACTTGGATGTTGCAATATAGCCTTCAATATGGGTTGCATCAAGAAAACAAAAATCCTCACCACTGGACCGATAGGCAACATCATGAAGGACAAAGGATTGAGATTGTCAACCACTTCATCTCACTTGGATCCACAACCAATACACTTGGATACCAGGATACAGTCAGGATACCAGGAGACATATCACAGTAGAAAAGTCTGTAGTCAGGGACCTCTCCAAATTATTGAGGAGTAATAATGTCAATTTGAGGACTTGGGTATACCTGATCCAGGCCATGGTCATTTCAGTCATTTTCTGTGCATCTAAGAGCTTGAAATGACTAAGGATGACAGAAGAATAATTGATGCCTTTCAACTGTGGTGCTGGTGAAGATCCCATGGACTGCCAAAACAACAAACAGATAAGTCTTGGAGAAGGGGCAACCTAAGTGTTCCTTGGAGGCAAAGACGATGAAGTGTCATCTCACATACTTTGGGCATACTGCTAGAAGTTACTCCTTGGTAAAGGACATGATGTGGCAGGGTGGAGGGGCAGCAAAAGAGAGGAAGATCCTTGACCAGGTGGGTTGACATGGTGAGTGTGGCAATGGGCTTGAGTATGTCAGATATTGTGAGGATGGTATGGCATAGGAGAGTGTTCAGATAGGTCGACTCAACAACACCCAACAACAGCTGCATTGAGGGAGGTCTTGCAGAGTTGCAGGAGTTGGTAAGGACTTGCACTGCCAACCCAAAGGCATGCAGTTTGAATCCATCAGCAGGCTCCACAGAAGAAAGATGAGCAATCTCATCCTGTTCCTCTGAAAACTCGCTACAGGGTCAGCTACAAGTCAGTTCTGATTCAACAGTCCTCAACAGCAACAGCATCTATTTATTTGAGACCCTCTTTTGTTTCTCCCTTCTCTAAATGTAAATTTTAATTTAGCAATGGAGCACACATTATGTAAAATCTGTCAGTGAAGTCTTGTTGTGCAGTGCCAAGAGAACTATCCTAAAACAAAAGACCAGGATGGTGAAACTCCATCTCATATGCTTTGGTCATGTTGTTAGGAGGGCCAGTCACTCCAGGAAGACATTACACCTACAAAGGTGATGGTCACTGTAGAAGAGGAAGACGCTCAACAAGATGGCTACAGTGACTGCAACAATGCGCTCAAGTGTGTTGGAAGATGGTGAGGATGGGACAAGCTATGGCAGAGTTCAGATATGTTGTTCATTGGGTTGCTATGAGTCATAGTCTCCTTGATGGCACATAAAGACAACATGTGAATTTGTGAGATCTTTTTAAAATACTGTTTTCTTTCTGACAAGACAGACATACATATGTACAAGTGTACATTTGTACAAGTACCCTCTGGTGTCCACTAGCGGAAGAACAACGGTTTCCCATTCTGCATCTGGAGAATTCAAGGCTCTACCAGTACAATAGCATGAAGAGTCCAGTTTCCCAGCTTCCAATCAGCATGACAACGATATTGAGAATTTACAACAGACTATTTGAATTACAAGCCTTTAAGCATTTTCTTTTTACACTCATATCAAAGTACTAGACTTAGGGAGACAAATCTTACTTCCACATTGTTGTTATGTGCTGTCGAGTTGGACAGACTCATAGTGGACCCTCCAGCAGGTTTTCAGAGGCTGTTAATCGCACAGGAAGAGATTTCCCACTCTCCTGCGGACCAGCTAGTGGATTTGAACCACATGCCTTTGGATTGCAGCATAGATTCTTACCACTAAGACACCAGAGAGATGAGGAAATGAAGACATTGCCTTTAGAGACTTATCCAAGACCAGTCCATAGCACAGCCATGACTCTATAAAGAGGTCACTGCTATTTCTAAAAATCACTGTTCAGGCACTAAAATATAAGAAAAAGCATTAAGTCAGAGAACTCTAGACTCCCCAAACCGAAACTTGGAGATCACATTGATCAGTTCCAAGGGTGTGTGTGTGTGTGTCTTTTTATTTCTGTAAACGTCCTCTCTCACTTCTCACTTTCAATTTTCGATTTACAATCAGACAAAACTGGCTAAGTGACACAGAGCCCAGTGATGCCTACCAGGACTGCCTGTGACTAGGCACAGCCCCTGTCAGCAGGTAACTGAGACCCTAACTTGTTACCCTTGCCTCTCATCCCATGCCAGGGGTTCAGAAACAATCCTTGTGCCGAGATGGCCCAGTTTAGCTTACTCGTGCTATCCTTAGCCTGTCCACGCCGCCGCCCAAACTTCACGAACATCTCTGAGGCCAGGCGTCTATAGCATGCCTACTACACCTGGCAAACACATGCGAGCTCCTACAGCTACAGTCCGTAGCCAGCCGCTGAACAGTTCCGAAACAGTGCGGTCGCTTAGCAACGCCGCCGGAAGTGACGGCACTCGTCGCAGAGGAACCGCAGAACGCGCTGCGGTTTGACAGTGGAGATGCTGGAGGGAGGTGCGCCTGCGCGCAAGTCGGGGGCCTGTTAGCAGGGCGGCCTCTAGGGTCGCAGGCCCGCCCCGGGCTACCCGGAATCACCGGTCTTCCGCCGAGCGGCGCGGGAGACTGGACGGCTGGCTACATGGCTTTAGGTCAGTGAGGCCTGCTGACACCATCACCACCTGGCACAACGTCTCACGACCCCAGGTTAGGGCTCTGTGCCCGTCATCAGACGAACCAGGCAGGTGTGTGACTGGAGGCCTGTTTGGACCCACAGGTGGATTTGGGGTAGTGGGAATCGTTGGGCCCACTAGTTGAATGTGAAGGACAGGGCTTTCTTAACGGTAGATATTATAGTTAAGAAACTGCAGAGATTAATTAACGTATAAATAAATCCTTTAGTATCTGAGGCATGGTTAAGGGCTAGTTGTTTTGCTTTTTTTGTTTGTTTGTTTGTTTTTTAAAGGCTGAAGTTCTTTTTATTTTATTTTATTATTTTTGTGTGCGTGTACCGTCAAATCAGATCTGACTGGTACAGGAGGAGAGTGCCCCTCCTTCCCCGGCAGAGCATCTGGTGGATTCGAACCGTGCACCTCTGGGATTGTAGTTGCAGCTTCTTGCCACTAGGCCACCAGAGCTCCCCTAGGGCTAGTTGTTTGCCATTGAGCCGACCCACTGCTGACCCTCCGGCGGGTTTTCAGAGGCTGTTAATGGCATGGGAGGAGATTGCCCAACTTTGTCCTGCGGAGCAGTTGGTGGATTCCAACTGCATTTCTTTGGATTGCAGCGCAGCTTCTTACCACGAGGCCGCCAAAGCTCCCTGATTAGGGCTAGATGGAACAAAGACTATTTTTTTTTTTAAAAAAAGAGAGAGATAAATCAGAACTATGATATTTCATATATCTTAAGTTACTTGGTTCTGTTGTACAAAGGGTTTTACACAACAGAATATCATAGCTCTGAATTTTCTTTCTAGAAAAACAACAAAAGGATGACATCTATTAAAAGATCTATTAAAATATTCAAGATTACTTTCTGCAAAAAAACCCCACAAAGCAACCAAAGGGATGGACTCATCATTTCTCAAGGTACTGAAGAACAAATTCAAGCCTCTAGTTGAAATACTTGAGGATGCTTTGGACAGAATATTAAATGATCCAGGAAACATTAAAAGAAGATGGAAAGAGTGTGTACGGAGTCACTGTACCAAAAGGAATTGGTGGACACAGAATTTCATGAAACAACATATGAGCTCTTGCCTGTAGTGATGAAGTTCAAGCTGCTCTGAAAGAATTAGCAAAAAACAAGGCCCCGGGAATTGATGGCATACCAATTGATATATTTCAAGAGATGCTGCCCTGGATGTGCTCACCAAGTTGTGCCAAGAAATTTGGAGGACAAACACCTGGCCTACTGACTAGAGATCTATATTCCCATTCCAAAGAAAGGTGACCCAACACAGTGTGGAAATTATCAAACAGTATCATTGATATCACATTCAAGCAAGATTCTGCTTAAGATTATCCAAAAATGACTGGAACAGCAGCACATCAACAGAGAACTGCCTGAAGTGCAGGCTAGATTTAGAAGAGGCTGTGTCACTAGGGATGTAGCTAATGTCAGATAGATCTTGGCTGAAAGCAGAGAGTACCAGAGAAATGTCTATCTATATTTAATTGACTATGCAAAGACATTTGACTGTGTGGATCACAACAAACTGTGACTAACTCTGAGAAGAATGGAAATCCCAGAACACTTGATTGTACTTATGCAAAACCTATACCTGGACCAAGAGGCAGTTGTCAGAACAAAGCAAGCAAACACCGCATGGTTCAAAATTGGGAAGGGTGTGTGTCAGGATGTGTCCTGTCTCAATATCTTTTCAATCTATATGCAGAACAGATTGTCCGAGAGGCTGGGCTCTATGAGAAGTGTGGCATCAATATTGGAGGTAGACTCATCAATAATCGGCATTATGCAGATGACACCACCCTGCTTGCTGAAACTGAGGAGGACATGAAGCGCTTGCTGCAGAATATCAAAGACTACAGCCTCCAGTATGGATTGAAGCTCAACATCAAGAAAACAAAGATTCTCGCCACTGAGCTGATTGGCAGCATCATGATGGATGATGAAGAGATTGAGATCATCTTCAGTTTGCTTGACTCTACAGTCAACCCTCTTGGTACCAGCAGCTAGGAAATTAAAAGACAAATTGCATTGGGAAAGTGCTGTCAGAGACCTCTCCAAAGTACTGAAAAGCAATGAAGTCAGTCTGGCAACTAAGGCGTGCCTGATCTAGGCCATGGCCTTTGCAGTTACTTGATATGCATCAGAGAGATGGACAATGACTAGGGATGATAGAAGGAGAGTTGATGCCTTTGAGTTTTGGTGCTGGAGAAGAGTGTTGAATGTAATATGGACTGCTAGGAGAACAAACAAGTTTGTCCTATAGAGAGTGAAGCCAGGCTGGTCCTTGGAGGCAAGGATTCTGAAGCTCCATCTGACATACTTTGGACATGTAAGGTGGGACCAGTGCTTGGAGATGGATGTCATGCTTGGGAGATTGGAAGAACAATGCAGGAGAGGAAGACCCTTGATGAGATGGATTGATTCAGTCACTGCGGTAATGGGGATGGGCTTGTTGGAAACCGTAAGACTGGCAAGGGATAGAGCAGGGTTTAGGGCTGTTGTACACAGGATTGCTATGAGTCACAGGCAACTGATGGTACATGACAACAAGAAGTTGCTGGATAAGTAGATGATACTAAATTGAGAGATCAGGTTTGGGGGACTGGTCAAAGGAAACTCTAAGGAAAAAAAAAAGAAAAAAACCACACCAGTAACAAACCTGTCCAGAATAAAGGAGAGATTGATTTTAAAAGATCCTTTTTACCACATTTGATGCGCAAGTTGACTCCATAGAAGCTGGTTGGATACAGCCCATGCCTTGCTGTGTGCCAAATTGAATTGCTCAAAATGAAGTAAACTTTTTAATAATTAAACTTTTTAACATAGTTGTATTGTTTTCCTTTAGGTTTTCTATCAGATGCCCCAGCATAATGTTGCTGGTAAGTATGAAAGAAGTGATAAAATGTTTGTAGACAAATAGGGTTTCTAAGGCTTTAAGTCATTACAGAAATGGACTAACCACTTGTTAAGATCACAGAGCAGCTGATGTGTTAAAACCTCTGCTCTTTCCATTTGCAGCTGAGTGCTTTAATCATGTTCTTATTCATTACCTTAACTCACTGAACTCACCAGCACCAAGTACATTCTGACTTCTATTCAAAGCAACCCTTCATCAAGTTCCCAAAGCTGTAAAAAGATATACATAGAAGGAGGCTATACATTTTTCTTTTGAGGAAGATTCTCATCTCCAGAGATGTGGTTTTATGGTTAGCAGCACAACAAATTAAGAACTACACCAGCAGATCTCTTTATCCTTAGGGACTGCTCATACAAATATCTCATACAAATATCCTTGAAAAGATAAGAATAAAGGGCAGTCTCTTGCTTATAAGACATGTAGAATCCATGAGTAATTGTCTCCCAACAAAAACTTTGGTATTTAGCTAAATTGGGTACAAAAATAACCAATTGGTTTTCATAAAATACTAAGATTTTTATATCAGTAATTTTCTATTTACAAACTAGTCAGGCATCATTTGATTTGGAAAGCCTGTTCCAATTTTTACAAGTTGATTTATAAATTCATTGTTTGTCCCAGTATACCTTTTCATGATTTTTTTTTAATTTTTCACTTAATGAAGGTAGAATACATGCTAATCTGATACAGTTTAAATGACTTGGGTGGAAATGTTACTACAAAATCAGTGTAGAAAAAGTATAAACCACAATTGAATCAATCCATGTATTTCCTACTCTAGTACGCATAGAGTTTTTTTTAACAATGTTGTTATACTACACAGACTGTTTTATTACTTCTTCGCTTAATTTAAAACTAAGCATTTTAACTTTCACCATTTGAATATTATGGCTTTAACATATATACTTTTATTTAACTAATTCCTAATGCTTGGTTTCCTTTCCATTTTCTTCCTCTTCTGTTTTTGTAGTCACCTTTTTCTCTCTTTATGTATGATATCCTTGATGTCATCCCACAACTCATCTGGTGTTCAATGCTTAAAATCTGTTCTTAAGATTACTTTTAAATTCAATTGGAACAGACTCAAGATCATATATTGGTTCTTGTGGGCTTGTTTTAGTTTTCTTAAGCTTCAGTTTGAACTTGCATATGAGTAATTTATGGTCTATTCCACAGTCAGCACTTAAACCGGTTTTGACTGCTGATACTGATATATCCAGATATAGTCACTCTCAATCTTATGTAATCCATCTGGTGAGGTATATGTGTAAAGTTTCCATTTGTGTCTTTTAAGAAAAATATTTTCATTGACTATGTAAAGGCATTTGACTGTGTGGATCACAACAAACTGTGGCAGAATCTGATATGAATGGGAATCTCAGAACACTTGATTGTTATTACACAAAACCTATACTTGGACCAGGAGGTCCAAGAACAAAGCAGGGAAACACTGCATGGTTCAGAATCAGAAAAGGTGTACACCAGAGATGCATCTGTCTCCATACCTTTTCAATCTATATGCTAGGCTTTATGAGAAGGGGTGCAACAAGATTGGAAGAAGACTTATCAACAACCTGCATTATGCAGATGACACAACCCTGCTTGTTGAAACTGAGGAGGACCTGAGGCATTTGCTACAAAAGGTCAAGGACTGCAGCCTTCAATATGGATTGAAGCTCAAGATCAAGAAAACAAAGATTCTCACCACTGGGCTG